GGGTCAGATCCAGGAGGGTTACAGGTCAGATCCAGGAGGGTTACGGGTCAGATCCAGGAGGGTTACGGGTCAGATCCAGGAGGGTTACGGGTCAGATCCTGGTTAGATCCAACCAGGATCCATCCACGATCGGTTTGTGGTGATGCCACACTCCTCTTATTATCCTCCTCTGGTGTCCACAGGCCCTGGAGGCCCAGGAGCAGGAGAAGCAGCAGCTACGTCTGCCCCATCAGAACCCGTCCCCGAACCCAGGCGGAAGGAGGACTCCTACCCCAGAGCCTCAGAGCTCTCCATCCCCTAGAGTCAGAACTCCAGACCTCACCATCAGCAGCGACGCCGCTCGCTCTACAGCCCCACCGCCAGGCGCTGAGTTGGACCAGGACACGCACTCTGTTAATGGAGAACCTGAAGATGGAGGCTCTGACCAGGTCACACCGTCTAGAGGTTAGTCTGATAGGAGGTTTGAAATAAAAATGTGAGATTAGACATGTGGAGTGGGCACTTCTGATGAAACTAACTTTGATCAGATTCAGTGTTTGAGGATGAAGCTGTAGAGAAGCATCCCATAGCAGCGGAGGAAGGCACCGGCCCAAACCCGGAAGAGTTGGCGGAGGGCGAGGGAGAGCCGGGGACCCACGGTGGAGAAGGTTCGGCTTGCCTTCAGTGTTTCTCCTCAAGTGTTTACTGTTAGTAGATAAGGGGATTAGAGGATGTCTCTGTTTCAGGTGTTGATCGCCCGGGTTCCTCTGCTTCTGATCAGACGGAGGTAGCTCCCCCTAGAGGCAGAACCGAGGCTCAGCAGATGAACGGCATCATTGAGGACCGCTCCTCCATTTCCTCTGCTGACATCCTGGTGGGAAAACTGCTTGGTTTTCATTCAGAAAATGTATTTAGTTTAGGCTGTTAGTTTTATTGTAAAATATCATTTCTAAAGAAGGAAAAGCAAATACTATGTAAGAAGCCCATCTTAAACTGAGACTATTTTCACTCAGTTTTAGAGACAGATCTTTAGTTAAAGGGGAACGC